AATTAAGGCGTGAAATATATGATATAATTAGTTCTGCTGATTTTTGGACCAATATTCGTCATTTGCTTAATCTTCTCTAACCATATTGTATTATCTTGAATAAGTTACAATCTGATAAAGCTCGCTTGCACCAGATTATTTTAAGTTTAGGTTATCTTGTTCAGTTTTGGGATAATTATGATGATGACTTGCAACTTAGTGCTCAACTTATATTATGTTTAGAATGTTGATAGAAAGATTAGAAACAACCTTTATTAATTTTATCCTGTCTTTTACATCCCGATTATCGCTTAGAGCAATTTAACATTAATATTAATTATGCTAATTTGGGCCTTTGGCTAGCTCATTATTATGAAGCATAGTTTGGAACGAAACCAACACAAATTTTAAAAGAATTTGATAGATTTCAGTTAAAAAAGTATCCTTTTGATCAAAAAACATGAAGTCAATTTGATGATATTTGTGAGTATTGGAGCTTTGCAAGCTCATTGACAGAAGAATTAGGTTTAGTTGCAAGCCGAATTTTTGGAATATGTGTAAATGCAGCTGCTGTAGAGTGTCTTTGGAGCTGCATGGGATTTCTACAAACAGGTTGGTGTAACAGATTAATGGTATGTCTAATTATATATAACAATAATTATTTTAGAGTATCCAGGATACCGCTACCCTAATTACAATTAGCAGTGGTCTTCTGATTTTAACAACTGCCCTACTTTGTTTAGTGCGTCGAAAGTGCATCGGGATGTATTGCGAATATAAAAGTAAAAATTTTAATTATATTGTATAATTGGAAAATTTACTTTGTGTTCGTAATTCAGGAATAAGCGAATCTGTGTTATACTCGACATGCCCTCGATGCATTTTCAACTTACTAAAAAAGTAGGGCAGCTGAAAAATACCACTGCTGCTACAATTATCGTTAAATCAGCAGATTCTATGGTATTAAAAACAAAATTACAAAAAAAAAAAATTTCTAGTTTATTATTCTGCTCGCAGAATTCAGATTCTGTCTACAGTACCCTGGATATTCTAAATTCATTAACATACGTATGTTTTGAAATTAAGAACTTACTAAATTAATTTTAATCTGCCAAAGCCTTACAAATGAGCAAGTTACGTGCAGATATTCATATAGTCACCGGCTTCGATCAGGTTTTACATATACCGATACTGATACATATATCTTCAATACAAATATGAAAATAGATTCTGTAGAACAAACGAATGCTAATATAGAACCGGTTAATTCGGATAATTCGGATAGTATAAATAATTCAGGTTCTAATGTAAAAATAGTTGAGTCTTCAGAAAATAGTGAAGTTTTAGAAAATATAGAAATAGTTGAATCTTCAGATGAATCAGAAAACGAAGATATAAGTGTTGAGGAAGGGTTTGATAATTATTTACAAGAATGGGTAGAGATGTTAGAAGAAGAAAAATGACGATTTGAAAATGAAGATATAGAAAGGGGAGATGATAATGATGAGATTTCTCTAAATAATACTGTTCATCCTGCGATTGACCTCAACGCGAAATGGGAATTGGCCACCCTTTTTAAAAAACTGGATTTAGAAGATATTTTTTAAAATTCATAGCAGAACCTTTCTTTAATACAGCCAACCTTCTCTAAATG